CCATTATGGTGGGAAAGGCTAAGTGGAAGCCACTAGAACTGCCTCTACCTAGGAAAGCAGTAAACCAGAAGCAATACCACATTCCTGGAGGGATTGCAGAGATTAGTGCCACCATAAAGGACTTGAAGGATGCTGGGGTGGTAATTCCCACCACATTTCATTTCGACTTGACTATCTGGCCTATGCAGAAGACAGACAGACCTTGGAGAATGACAGTGGATCATCTTAAGTTTAACTAGATGGTCATTCCAATTACAGCTGCTGTACCAGATGTGGTTTCATGGCTTGAGCAAATTAATATATTCTCTGGTATACAGCTATTGGTCTAGGAAGTGCTTTTTTCTCCATACCTGTTAATAAAGGACCACTGGAAGAAGTTTGCTTTCAACTGGCAAGGCCAGCAATGCACCTTCACTGTCCTGCCTCAGGAGCACATCAACTCTTCAGCCCTATGTCGTAGTTCATTTTGCAGGGATCTTGACTGCCTTTTCCTTTCATAAATTATTATACTGGTCCATTACATTGATGACATTATGCTGACTGAACCTAGTGAGCAAGGAGTAGTAACTATTCTAGACTTATTGGTAAGACATTTGCATGTCAGAAAATGGAAAATAAATCTGACAAAAATTCAGGGGCCTTCTACCTCAGTGAAATTTCTAGGCATTCACTTGTGTGGGGCATGTAAATATATTCCTTCTAAAGTGAAGGACAAGTTATTGCATCTGGCCCCTCCTACAACCAAAAAAGAGGCACAACACCTAACGGGTCTCTTTGGATTTTGGAGGCAACATATTCCTCATTTAGGTGTGTTACTTCAGCCCATTTACCAGGTGACCAAAAAGCTGCTAGTTTTGAGTAGGGCCCAGAACAAGAGAAGGCTCTACAACAGGTCCAGGCTGCTCTGCCACTTGGGCCATACAATCCAGCATATCATATGGTGCTTGAAATGCTGTTTGGAGCCTTTGGCAGGCCCCTACAGGTTAACTGCAGCACGGGCAGGATTTGGGAACGAAGCTCTGCCATCCTCCATGTACTTCTCTCCCTTTGGGAGACAGCTCTCGGCTTGCTTCTAGGCTTCAGTAGAGACTGAATGCTTAACCATGGGCCACCAAGTTACCATGTGACCATGAGCCACCCATAATGATCTGGGTGTTATCTGACCACCAAGCCATAAAATTGGGTGTGCATAGCAATACTCCATCATCAAATGGAAGTGATATATACATGACTGGGCCCGGGCAGGCTGTGATGGTATTTAGTAGTTTACATGAAGACGTTGCCCAAATGCCCAGAGTCCCCACTCCTGCTATACTCCCTTCTCTCTCCCAGCCTGTATCTGTGGCCTCATGGGGAGTTCCCTATAGCCAGTCGATGGGAAGAGACTTGGGCCTGGTTCACAGATGGCTCGGCACGATATGCAAGTTTACCCAAAAGTGAACAGTTGCAGTACTGCAGCTCCTTTCTGGGACATCCCTGAAGGACAGTGATGGAGGGAAATCCTCCCAGTGGGTGGAACTTCTGGTAGTGCATTTGATTGTTCACTTTGCTTCAAAGAAGAGATGGCCAGACATGCAATTATGTACCAATTTATATGCTATGGCCAGTAGTGTTGCTGGATGGTCAGGGACATGGAAAGAACATAATTGGAAGATTGGTGATAAGGAAATTTGGGAAAGACATATGTGAGTGGGCCAAAAAAATGTGAAGGTTGGGGCCGGCCCGGTGGCGCACTGGATAGTGCGCCGCTTGGGAAGCGCGGCGGCGC